ATGACATAAATTTATAACTTTAATGTTTATGGGTAGTCCTATCCAAATAGGGTATTTAAATTCTTTTTTCTTTTTTTTAAAGATTTTATTTATTTATTTGAGAGAGAGAGAATGAGAGACAGAGAGCACGAGAGGGAAGAGGGTCAGAGGGAGAAGCAGACCCCCCGCTGAGCAGGGAGCCCGATGTGGGACTCGATCCCGGGACTCCAGGATCACGACCTGAGCCGAAGGCAGTCGCTTAACCAACTGAGCCACCCAGGCGCCCCAGGGTATTTAAATTCTTAAGAATGTCTATACTTCTTGAAAGTCAATAAAATACAGAAGCCTAGTATATTCCTTTAAGTCAGTAAAGTGAGACTATCTCAGATTGTTTTCCTTGTTAGAAATGCAGATTCTCAGACATCAAGGTACATTTAGAATGGGATTCAGTTATCTGGGTTTTAACAAACCCTTCAGGTGATTCCTGAACCACTGCCATAGAAGTAACCAAGGTAGCACTTGAAACAGTTTCATTTTGTTGTGTTAAAAGAAAGTGTAGTATTTTCCTGCCAAAGCTTTGGAATCATTAATAAACAATCAGCTCAACCAATGTCTTTTCTTTTTTTGAGAGGGAGGGAGAGTCTTTTTTTTTTTTTTTTAAGATTTTATTTATTTATTTGACAGAGACAGAGACAGCGAGAGCAGGAACACAAGCAGGGGGAGTGGGAGAGGGAGAAGCAGGCTTCCCGCTGAGCAGGGAGCCCGATGTGGGACTCGATCCCAGGACTCTGGGATCATGACCTGAGCCGAAGGCAGCCGCTTAACAACTGAGCCACCCAGACGCCCGAGAGAATCTTAAGCAGGCTCCAGGTTCCATTGTCTTTTCTTGATAAAAATTGTGATTGTGGTAAATTCTATTTTTAGTATATCTGATAGAAAGAATAGATATATAGGCATTGGAAAGTCATGGCTTCATATTTTGTCTCAGACATACACTAATTGTCCTTCAGGAAGTTTCTTGATCTTTTTTTTTTTTAAGATTTTATTTATTTATCTGATAGAGAAAGAGCACAAGTAGGCAGAGCGGCAGGAAGAGGGAGAGGGAGAAGCAGGCTCTCCGCTGAGCAGGGAGCCTGATGTAGGGCTCGATCCCAGGACCCTGGGATCATGACCTGAGCCGAAGGCAGATGCTTAACCGACTGAGCCACCCAGGTGCCCCTTGATCTTTTTCAAGGCTATAGCTTCTTTGTCTGAAAAATAGAATAATACCATCCATCAGTGAGGATCATAGCAAGGATTGGAAGTAATGTAAGTGCTAAACACTTAATAGGCTTTAAAAGATTATTCATTATTCGGGCACCTGGGTGGCTCACTTGGTTGAGTGCTCGACTCTTGGTTTCTGCTCAGGTCGTGATCTTCTAGGTCGTGAGATCAAGTCCCCTGTCGAGCCTTGCGCTGGTTCATCGGGGAGTCTACTTGAAGATTTTCTCCCTCTGCCCCTCCCCCTAGTCGTGTATACACGGTCTCAAAATAAATCTTAAAAAAAAAAAAAGATTATTCATTATTAAATCTTAAGCTTTGTTGTTTTCTTCCAGTTTACAGACTGCAGCTTCCTCAATACTATTTACATTTATTAAAACTAATTTGAAATGTTAGTCATGTAATAATTCAGAGATAGCAGTTCTTTATCTTCCTAAATCATTCTTGGCAAATCCTGTACATATTCTACTCCTTTGTCACCTAATACTGCATTAAGGAGAAATTCCAGACTAACTAGAAATGAACTCAGTTCACTTGACACAGTGCTTTTGTTAAACTGTCAGTTAACTCTCAGCCTGGATTAAACTCTTCTAGAATCTAGAAGGAAACCAAGTATGTTTTTGTTATTGTAGTTAAAAGAAAATTGGAAGAATGATTTCATTCTGCATCTCTTTGGAGCTAAGTTATACCTTAGGTAGGATTAAAAAAAATTTAATGTGAATTTTAGGACACTTGATAATTTGCTGTGTGTACTTATAAAATGAGAATTGGGACTCATTGGACTCACTGTATTTTGCTAGTATTGAAAGAATGACATTGATGGCATGAATGTTGGCTAGGATCCATATTTTTCACTCTACATTTTGCTAAATTATATAATATTTTCATGGCTCCAAAGTAAAAACTATAAAACAAGGGACGTTCAGCGAAGTCTAGGTTCCAACCCTGTGCTCTCTTATCACTGTTCTCTTCATCTCCCCATAGGTAATCATTGGTTTTACATAAGTAAGCTCTACATGCAACACGGGGCTTGAACTTACGACCCTGAGATCAAGAGTTGCATGGTCTTCCAAATGAGCCAGCCAGGCACCCCTGGTTTTTTAATCTTGTTAAACATTTAAATAAACACATACACATTAATTTTTTCCTTTGAATAAGAGGTAACATTTACATTGTTTTACACCTTTTTCACTCATTTCATGGCAGTGTATAGATTTTCTTATAGTATTTTACAACTGCATAGTACTCTATCATGTACATGTACCATAGTTTATTCAACTATATTCTATTGATATTTAGTTTGCTTCCAGTCTTCTATTATAAATAGTATTTTGCCAGTATATTTTAGGAATAAATTCCTAGAAGTGAGATTGTGGGTCAAAGTATAAATGTAGATGTAATTTTGCTAGCTGTTGCCAACTGTCCCTCCATGGAGTTGTAACAATTTCTCTTCCCATTAGTAATGTATGAGAAGTCTTATTTCCTCACACTTTTGTCACTAGACTGTGTTAGACTTGTAGATTTTTGCTAATCTGATAGGTGAGAAATGATTATGTTAGGGTAGTTTTAATTAGTATTTCCCTTATGAGTGAGATCAGCATCTTTTCACTTAAATTTTTGAACTAGCTTCATATTTGTGCACATTTTTTTGTCAGGTACTGGTGCTACTATCCTGAGGAATTACTCTCTGGATTTTTTTTCTCTTTGGGAGTGGTAATAATCACTTAACACTAGGCATGTATGATTAAGTAAAAAAGATCTATTTATATATTTTTTGTATTTAAAGAAGTGACATTCTAATTTGGGAAAAGGGACTTGTATGAAGATCATCCTGATTCAGTGAAATAAATGCTGGTGGAGATAAATACCAAGCTTTGTGGAAGCACTTAGCCTGGGATGAAATGACTTGGGTATCAGGAATTTTATTAGTTAGCATGTGAATTGTTCTTCAGATTGAGTCTTTAAGGAAGAGAAGATTGCTAGGTTTACCCTCCCTTAGAGTATTCTGCCAGAGGAAGCAATGCCAAGGAAGAATATGGTGCTGAGGACTCCTGGGTCACCTGGTTTTGTGGGTAGGGATAAGGGGCGTGGACATTGAGACTGCATCTGGACCATGAGGATTTGCTAAGTCTCTACTTGGTGACTCCAAACCCACTTCTTTAAAAAGAATTTTTTTTTAATTTTTTAAGAAATCTCTGCAGCCAACATGGGGCTCAAACTTACAACCCTGAGATCAAGAGTTGATGCTCTACTGACTGAGTCAGCCAGGTGCTCCCCTAAACCCATTTCTAAATTAAGATAACTACAGCAGTGCCAAGTTGAAAAATTGGATTAAAATATTCATGTTCCTCTTAATTTTCTCCCTGAGGCACACATTCTCTCTTGATAATCTTCCTGCTCCTCACGTTTTTGAATAAACTTGGGAAGAGAATGCTGAGAAGTAGAGTGATTTCATTCCCTCCTTCCCTTTTTATTGTTGAGCAAGCGCAAAGTTTTTACTTTTTGTCCGTGCCATACTTTTAATTTATCATTACATCTTCCTTTTTGCCAAGTTCAAGGCTCCTTATGCAATAGCTTGTTTGACTTGGTAGAGAGTGAAGATCTGGGTAGGGGAAGGTGCTTGTGAGAGAGTTTATGAGTCTGGAAAGGTAGGCAGGGACTAAGCTAGATGGTCAGAAGCCTTGTATCTCATTTTGAGGAATTTGTATTTTGTCTTGGTGGAGAGCCTCTAAAAAACCTGAAATGGGTGAGGAACAGAGGAGAGGGGTTGGAGGAGGGGAATGACAAGGTAAGCTTTTCATTTTTGAGATGTGATTTTGATGACTGTGTCGAGGAGGGTGGATAGGAGAAAGTACAGTATAGGTGAGAGAGCAGTGCTTCTCCAACCAGCAGCAGCATCACATGGGGACTTTTTAGAAATACAGATTCTGACGCTCCATCCCAGAACCCTGGGGTGGGTGCAGCAATCTGTGTTTGATTCTGATGCATGCCAAAGCTTGGGACTAGAGACAGAAAAGTCAGTGAGGCTGTATTACAGTTTGTAAATGCTTTTTCATGTTACTTACATAGTTGGTTTTGTTGAGATGTTCATGTTTGTGTCTTACATTCATTCACAAGAAAAGTAGATGAACTCTCTAGGATTTGGGGACTTATTTATTTGAAAGCCTAATATGAAAAGATTTGAAAAGCTGGGATATTATGGTAATATATTATACTTGGAAAAGGGGAAACCGTTCAGGACACAGTAAACTGTAGTCAACTGAAACTATTGGAGTAGAATACAACAAGTAAGTGGTGCTTAATCTTGGATGCTCTAGATGTTGCCTGTACATGACATTGATTTGTAATGTGGTTTTTGTATCTGCAGTAGGGAAAAGTGATAGGAGATATTGTAAAAAAAAAAAAAAGGGGCGGGAGACATGAACTCATTGTGGAACCCAAAGGAAAGGATGGTGGGTTTGCCCAAGATTTCCCAAGATGGTCTTGTGCAGTCAGTTCCACATAACTGTTTTCATTCTTTATATAATAGCAGTTGATTTGCATCTAACCCAGATGCAAATTTTTCATTGAGGGTGTGAGGGCTGTGGGTATAAATTTCAACCTTGTTGGAATGGGACTGAGTAAATCTGATATCTTCTTTATTCTCCTCTCTTAGCTTTGCTGGGTGAACAAAAGTACAGATAGAGCAAGTGCTTTGTGAATATCAAAACTGTGCCTTAAAGGCTGAGTAATCTTTTTTTCTCCTTTGAATTTTATTCCAGGACCCATCAGTTACACAAGTGACAAGAAATGTTCCACCAGGACTTGATGAATATAATCCATTCTCGGATTCTAGAACAGTAAGACTATCTTAATTGGACTACTTTTAAATGTTGAAATTAAATAGGAATTATATTTCAGTTATGATTTCTTTTTTAGTTGATTGGTTAAAGTTATATAAAATAAGCTGTTCGTGTTTTACTTATAATTTAGAAAGTTAAATTTTATTTAAACAGAAAGGAGTATCAGTAATAATTGAAAATTACCACGATGGTCCTAGTGAAGTACTACAAATTTTCTTTTATGTTCTATATTGCTACTAATCCCTCCTAAGAATCTTACTACAGTTCTTAGGAGAGGGAAGTGCTTTTTGGTATAAGTGTTGTCTTCATGGTAATGTAGGGGTGATGTTTTCCTATAAAACAGAACATTCTACTCTGTGGTAGACAGACTAAAATCTCTGGAACTTTACTTGGCTTAGGAACATACTCTTTTCCTCAAAATTTAGTCTTGATTTATGTAGGGGTATGAAAAAAATCCTTAAGAAACAGGGGTTCTCTACCCTGGATGCATATTAGAAGCACCTGGAGAATTTTATTACACTTTTCATTAGGGCCCTACTCTCTCACAGGGCACTTGTGCTTTTTGTTGTAGCTGTTTTGGTGATTGTATTCTGAACCAGTTCTGAGAACTATTGAGGTAGGTTCTGTTGAGAGTTCGTCCCCAAAATTTCTCTGACAAATAATTTTGTTACTGTATTTTGAGTCTTTAGTGTAATTCTTACACTCAAGACGTCTCGTAGTTTAAACACCATTGGCTTTTGAAATACAAGTCATCCTCGTGAAGGTATTGAAGTTCTTCAATTGTATGCTTGGATTTACAGATCAGTGTAATGATCATTACGTAATCATCTCTTCCTGATGTGTGTTTTCCATAGTCTGGAAAATAATTCTCAAAGATATTGTAGTTTTAGCTTAGAAATTTATTCAAAATATTTTATATTAACATTTTAGTTTTAGGAAGAGCTTTGTACAAAGTAAAAGCATTAAAATAAGAATGAACTTTTACATTTCACTTTATTTCAAAGCCCTTATTTAATAGACTTTGCTTATGTATAGCAACTACACCCCAGCCTGGGTTTACTAAAGTGTTCATTGAGCAAGCAAATTTCAGATTGAACCATTGGGGATGGCCAATAAGCTGACCAGTATTGACATGTAAAAATGGCAATTTCATAAGTTTCAGCTGTATAGTAAATTTGTGCTATGAATGTATGTATGAGAGTGCATTTGGTTGTAGTTGAAAGGGAGAAAAAGAAGAGCTGTATATTTTATTCCACAAGATGTAGTTCTTTTAATATGATTTCGGGGGGTGGAGATGGGACCAAGACTCGTTAATATTTGTTGGTAAAGAATGAAAAGAGGTTTGCATATAATTTTTTGTAAGATTTTACTAGCAAGAAGTATGGTGGACTTATTAAAAGTAGCAGCTGTAGATTGTTCTTAGCAGTAGTATGAGTACTTTTTACCAAGTTGTCTACTTTGTGTCATGTGCTTTACCTATCATTACTGAATTCTTATAACATTCAAAATGGATATTTTTTATTTCTGTTTTACTGATAAAGAATCTGAGACACTGGTCATCCAGATAGTAAGTGGCAGAATTGGTTTAACTAACTCATCTGTTTTCTCTAAAGCTTTTGCTTTTTACATTTTGCTAGTTCTGTCTTTAGAGAAAGGTGCTTAAGAATAGAAGGTACAGTCCTGGTCTATGAAAAATTTCTCACCTAATTGGAATTTAAAACAATTACACAAAGAAGATAGAGCCAGGAAAAAGAAAACATAAAAGTGTAAATTATAGTTTGAAACAGAGTTTTTGCAATCAAGGAAAGGTTTTCTGAAAGAGAATAGTCTTATGTAGGTAGCTAGGCAATAGGGACAAGCCAATTTAAAATGAAACACTTAGATTTGATAGAGTATCAGAACCAGGGAAATGTAACTTATTGTAACATATGCATTTTCCAGTGAACTTTTTTACATGATTGAAATTGTAGTTGAAATAATAAAAAAAAAATTCCTTTGTTTTCTCTATGTATGGTATCAGAAACTTGTCTTTTTTTAAATGGTTGTGACTATTTTCCAAAACAGATCAGATGTATTTGGATAATTGATTTAAGTGATATGTTAGAACTCAATCCAAATACTGTTTTAGTTGATTGATGGTATTCATATTTATTTTAGAAAAATACTAGTGAAAATCAGGTTTCTGAATTGGTGCATAAGGGTGTGGTGAAATACTTAAGGTCAAGTGAGAAAATCCATCAGCAGAATGAGTGTATAAACTATAAGATTTAGGGGGCTAGAATGCATGAGCGCCACTCCACTGCCAAGCGACCGTGGGAAAATTCCAAAAAAGTCAAACAAAACAAAAAACCAGTACGGGGCAAAGCCATATTTGCAAGCCACAGAACCCGGGCGGAAGCGTCCTTTCTGCCACTGCCCAAACTGCTGAAGCAGCTCTGGCACAGACCACCCGGTTTATTCCCCGCTTTTGGTGGTGAACATCCTCTAGTATTTTCTTAAAAGGGTGTGTGGAAGAGGACTAGGAAAGATGGCGGAAGAGTAGGGGACCCTATTTCAACTGGTCCCCGGAATTGAGCTGGATATCTACCAGACCACTCTGAGCACCCACGAAACCAGCCTGAGATGTAAGAAGATCTGGATCTCTACAAACAGAATATTGCAGGCGGTTGGTTTCAAGGTTCGAAGCAGGGAGCCATGATTCCGCGGGCAGATATTGGAGGATAAACGGCAACGGGAGGGTGCCTGGCCATGGGGATCCTACACCACCGGTGTGCCCCTCACGCGCTGGGGACGGGGCGCAGACTCGCAGACCGGTAGCCGCGGGGAAAGGACTTTAGGGCAGCCCCCGGGACGGAAACCCGGAGCGGCGGGGTCATGCTTGCGAACTGGGGGCGGCTGGCGGTTTTAGAAGCACAAAGGGCAGAGACGTGCCCTGACCTGGAGGCAGGACTGGGAGTGCTGCGGAGGGGTGAACAACCCAGGACACTGCAGTTTATAGCAGCACGGACAGAAACGGAGACGGTGTGGCCTGGAGAGCTCACTGAAGAACAGACCGCGGTCTCTCTGCTCTGAGGCAGAGGGTTGGAAATGGTCTCTTCTGCTCTGACTCACGGAAGAGATGCGGAAAGCCGCCAGGGAAAGCCGCCAGAGAACAAAAGCCCCAAAAACTGATTCCCGCTGCCACAGGGGGGCAGGGCAACTCCG